CCCCCCCTCTCCCCTCTTTCCCTAACTCTGTCTCTGTCTCGCGCAATGAGAAACGGCGGAATGGAATTTCAATCCGTTGGAAAATGACTTGTTGCCGCTTCTGCGTACTCGTTGCGCGGTCGCCTACGTCCTCTCATATGACGTTTGCCTCTTTTGGCGCGCGGATTTGACCCCGGCGCGATACCGAACCGCATCCTTCAGGAACGCATCCTTCGCGCCGCGCGATGAGTAGCCGATGGGTAGCTCGTTCGCCACGCAGTCGGCTCCTTATTAATATCGCGCTTGATTGTGCCCGTTCACGCGGAAAGCTACAACGGCACATCGTCCTCGCCGTTGTCGTCATCGTCGTCGTCCCTTCGCCGATGATGGAATTTCCTATTTAAACCGGAATCGTTAAAATGCACGAGCAGGGGGACCGCCCCAAGGATATTCAAGCTCGCCAATCACGTGTGATGAAGCGCGTCGCGCGCTGTCGGGCCCGATGACGATAATTGCCGATCACGACGGACTAATGAGCCAAGTCGTAAATAATGAAGCTTTAAATGGAGGAGCCTACCGAGGGTTATCGAATCGGCATGGACCGGTGTCGCGCGCCGTAATCCCGACCTGTCTCGCGGTGTACGCACGAGAGGGCTGACTTTCTCTATTGCCTCCTCGATCAAGCGAAATTGTACTGGGCGCTCTCGCGTTGCTCGCGACGACACGACAGCGCCATTCAGGCCGCTGAGCAACCGGTCCTCGAAAGATCCCCCAACCCGTTAACCCCGGTTCGCGCTACCGCTATCGTCGGCCGCGGCTCTGTCCGCGCGATGTCAATGGAGGAGAAGCCGCTGTCATCCCGGGAGAGCGCGCGTGTTTGCCGGTAAAATCGAGCTTTCAGCAACGCGACCCCGCCGGAAAATCTCAATCATCGCGCGAACATCATCCACGTGGTCGCGTTCTAGAACAAGACGAAATGGAAAATGAGGCACGATAAAATCTTGTTCTTTAACCCAACCGATTCGATCGATACGGTTCGAGTGGAATTATTTTCTTCATGAATAAATCTTAAAAGACGCTCCTGACGAAGAGTTTTCGGATAAAATTGATCACCGAGAAGTATAATTTTTTGTATTGAATGTGTATAATTATGTTTGTATTTGAATGTGTATAATTATGTCATGTTTGCCTCAGTTGCAGAATTTCATAAATCACATAAGGTGATCAAATGAACATAAAAAGCGCCAAGCTTTAAGATGATATCGACGAGAAGTTGAGAAAATAAAATTGGCTTGCTTTTTTTTTCTTCTGAAAAACTTTACACAATTTCAAACGTCGACGATTCTGCACGCGATCGCACGATATTGGTTTCTTCGGAGGAAAAACTACTGTTTGACGAGTCGGTGTGGAAAACATAGCTCTATCTAAGACGATAGTACTGCACCTCGGTGGGACCAGCACTTTGCCGATACAAAAATATCGGGAGCACCCACAGTGAACGTGCATAATTATATGCACTGGGCCCTAAAGGGTTAATTTGTTTTCTCGACCGGTTTATCGCGGCCGAAACGTATCCTTTCTTTATTGGGCGATCGCGCTATTCTTAGACGCAGACTTTGGCAGCGATGCACGTCGCCGTGCATTCATCGAGGAGGATTCCCTGCGAACGATCGCGCGCCGCGGTCGCTGTGTGCGCACGGTAAACCTCGATCGCGCGCGCGACGAGAGCGCTCTTGTCCATTGTTATTTCTACCTCTCTCGTGCACCTCGCCGGCGCGCATCCCGGCATTAAACGGATCTGCAGATTTAAGCAGAAAGATCCGTGCGAATAATCGCCAGTAGGGTCGGTCGAAGTCGAGCGCGCCCTCCGATTGGCGCGAGCGCGCTAGGCGTAGCCGCGAGAATATACACGCTGGTGGCGACGAGCGGGGATGCAACGTACGATCGGACGATATGTCCGAGGCCCGAGGAAGGAGCGCGCGAGCGAGCTCCTTTTTTCGCCGGCTATACAGAAGGGATAATTAACATCTGTTACAGTACCTATAGCGCGCGGGCCGCCCCGTTTCACCCCACTACTCGGCGCACGGGGCGGACCTTGAATACATTATCACCCTCTCTGTACGTGCACGTTGCATACACACGTGCACCGAATCGTCGAATCGCAGTGCTCGCGATCGACCGTGAACGAAAACCTTTATCTCCTCGCACGTCTCCTCGTCCTGCTCGTGTGCGCGCTCTCTCGCCGGGGAGATCGTTAGATCTCCGGTGCGCGGGTTGCGAATCGAATTTTGCCGGCCGGGAACTCTCGCCTCTTTGTGCCACCCCTTGCTGGTCTCATGGACCGACGCGGACCAAGCCGGAGAGAGAAAGAGAGAGACACAGAGATCTTGCACCACTCGCGTCGTGAATGCGAGCTCTGATTATCGGTGGATTTAATTTCGCCACCAAATTCACAGGCTCGTCAGATAAAATTTCACCCCCTGCTCTGAGTCATCTCAGAGAAAGGGCTGAAAAAAAGGATCTTGCGATCTCGTTGTCGCGTCTGTCACCGCGTCCCGTTCGAGTTGCGCGCACCCTGAGATCGACCCTGAGATCGTCTACGACCTCGACGAATTTTGAAAATTCCCCAGACGTTAGCCTGAATAGCCGACATGCCGACTTTCGAAGTCGTCAAGAGGGAACCGAGATCGATGGCACGCCGTTCCCCGGAATCTTCGAATTCTGTTTTTTACTTTTTTGTCTCGTCGCCCCGAAGACCGAATTCGCCGAACAAACAGAACAAAAATAGTGTCGCGAGAATTGGGACAAGGAGCGCGTCTGCAAAACACTCGTTGAATAACGTAGATCCGGCAAACCCCCCATGGCTTTCGCCGATCGAAGCGCGCGATGCGGATCGCGCGGCCTCCGTTTTCGCGTAATTGCAAGAATTCACCGCTAACGAGAACACGTCACGCGCTGTTGCCCGTCAATCTGACATGATCAGCTCAAAGTAAAAAAAGAAAGGCGAAACTGCTTGAAAACGGGTATTAAGATAATTAAAACTCGCGATAATTAAGACACGCACAATTAATGCGGCGCACCGTGCGGGGAGCATTAACGTCGGCGCGATGGATGCGGCTCTGAATATACAGAGCCCGCCTTTTCCCTTCCGCACGAAATTACACCTCTGCCGCGGCTACCCGCGCGAGTAAAATTCAAATGAAATCAAGACGGGCGATTAAAATAAAGCAACGTGCTCTCGAGCTGTTCTCCGCGCCGTAACTCGACCCGGTTTCAGCGACTTATTTCGCGCACGAATACGTGCGATTTTTTGGGGAACGCGCGAATGAGTTACGACGAGAGGAAAGCCACGGTAACTCAACCGACGCCGAAGAAGAGACGCGCGTCGAACCCGATGGGATGAGAGTCGGGACACGAACGGGTTAGGACGGGATGAAACGGCGCGAGACAGCGGCTGGTCCGTGAGAGCGGGCTACCACTCGACATAGCTCGACGCTGATGCCGATGCCAGAAGGAGGAAACAAAAAAGCCGGCGGACGTAACGCGTTCGTTCGTCAAACACTCGAACGTAATGTTGCCAGGCTCGGCCTGGAGGGGCCCCGCACGCGGCTTCTCGAGTGTCTGCTGCGGAATACCGGGAGATTATTCAAATTCGCCACCGACGGCTTAAAATGTATATTAATCGTCGATCGTTGGCGACCGGGGCGACGGAGCAGCCGAGGACTCTCTCTTTTTCTTTCTCTATTTCTCTCTTTATTTCTCTCTTTCTATCTATCCACCCCGTCTTTCTTTCTCTTTCTTCCTCTATCTCCCTGGCCGGAAACCGACCCGCCGCTTTGCTCGTCACCGCATAATACGAGGAGCGCGACTTATGTCGATTCGCTTGTCTCTAAATATACGTGACGAGCCTTAGATCCAGGTGCTCGGGGCGTCTCGACCGCTCGATATCGGAGTCGCCTGGTCGCATTGATGTCACTGCTTCGACGCTATCGCGACGCGCAATTACGCACTGCAACAGTACATTGCAACAGTGCAATGTTAAGTTGTTTAGAAACCGGT